TTTTGCATCGCGGATCTTGAGCTTTGGTTAAGCTCACTAAGTGACGTGACCTACTTAAGTGATTCTTGTTTAATCCCACGGTTGGAGAAAGCTACAAGGTAGTGCTAGTGCTCCAGATCGATATATGCAGCGAAATGAAGGCGGAAGATAGCTTCCACATCCCACAAGGGCGGATGATATTGCTGGTCAAGCGTCAAGTGCGCAGGTCTCGCACCGAGGAAACCCAAGTACTATGAAGACGCCTTTCCTTTGCACAGGCAAAAAACAACAACAAAAAACATCAACAACCACAATTTGAGTGGACAACTCCGAGTTGAGATGTCTTGGCTTCGCAGGTCTTAGGCCCCGCCCCCGCAGGCGGCAACGAGCCCTTTTTCATGATATGTGAACAAGTGACACAATGGGGGGTCTTGACCTGTGGAGGAAGTAGGACCGGGAGCCGCCAAAAATGCTACGCAAATTCGGGGGGTACACCCTCCCCAGCACCACTGTGGCAGGTCACATCAGAAAAACATGTTGTTATCGAAACCTCCGAGGAAACACCAGTTTGGCATCGACACCCCGCCATGGAACGTGACGGATGCGACATCACTCACAAAAACGCACACTCAACCGCAGTGTTTCTGGCTCACGTGCTGCCTCTGAGAGAAGTAATCCTCCTCAAGCCCCGCAATGTCGAAGCTTAATGTCACCGCCGGGGCGCCTAGCTTCTTTCTTCATTTCTGTTTTGTCCGGGCAACAGGCATTGTCCTGTGTCTTGAAAGTTATCTCTTGGACCACCCCCCCACACGCACACACACACACCCACCCACCCACCCACCCACCCACGCACGCACGCACGCACGCACGCACGCGCGCGCAGCGCGGCGCGCACCTCGCGCACTGCGCGCACCGCGCAGCCAAACTCCCACCAGCGCGCGCGGCACGCGCGCCACGCGCGCACGCGCGCACTCGCGCACTTGCGCACCCGACAGGCAACTGAAAATCGATCGCGCGGCGCGTAAGCGCGCACCGCGCACCGCGCGCGCGCTACGCGCGCGCACGCGCGCACGCGCGCACCGCTCACAGCGCGCACGCGCACGCGCACGCGCACGCGCACGCGCACGCGCACGCGCACGCGCACGCGCACCGCCGCACACGCACACGCACACGCACACGCACACGCACACGCACACGCACACGCACACGCACACGCACACGCACACGCACACGCACACGCACACGCACACGCACACGCACACGCACACGCACACGCACACGCACACGCACACGCACACGCACACGCAAACGCACACGCACACGCACACGCACACGCACACGCACACGCACACGCACACGCACACGCACACGCACACGCACACGCACACGCACACGCACACGCACACGCACACGCCCACGCACACGCGCACGCGCACGCGCACGCGCACGCGCACGCGCACGCGCACGCGCACGCGCACGCGCACGCGCACGCGCACCCGCACGCGCACACGCACACGCACACGCACACGCACACGCACACGCACACGCACACGCACACGCACACGCACACGCACACGCACACGCACACGCACACGCACACGCACACGCACACGCGCACGGGCACGCGCACGCGCACGCGCACGCGCACGCGCACGCGCACGCGCACGCGCCACGCGCCACGCACACCACACAGATACCCACACCACCAAACCCCACCCACCCACCGCCACGGAGCCTCCGACACCCACACCACCCACTCCACCCACCCACCCCTCCACCCAGCCCAACCCACCCACCCACCCACCCAAAACACACGCACAACACGCACACGCGAAACACGCACACGCACAACATGCACACGCACGACATGCACACTCACGATATGCACACGCACAACACGCGCACGCACAACACGCACACGCACAACACGCTCACGCACACCACGCACACGCACACCACGCACACCACGCACACGCACACCACGCACACGCACACCACGCACACGCACACGCACAGGCACACGCACACGCACACCACGCACACGCACACGCACAGGCACACGCACACGCACACGCACAGGCACACGCACACGCACACGCACACGCACACGCACACACGCACACACGCACACACGCACACACACACACACACACACACACACGCGCACACGCGCACACGCGCGCCACGCACACACACACACACACACACACACCACACCACACACACACACACACACACACACACACACACACACACACACACACACACACACACACACACACACGCACACACACACACACACACACACACACACACACACACACACAACACACACACACACACACACACACACACACACACACACACACACACACACACACACACACACACACACACACACACACACACACACACACACACACACACACACACACATTTCTGCGGGATTTTTCCAAGACATCCATCCCAAAACCGAACCTCTGCAGCCCCGCACCGTGGACCATGCCTTAAGATGAGGAAAGTTTGAAAGCGGAGCTTGTTTCAGTCACTGCGGTCACCAGACTTTGACCAGAGCAGCGCCAAATGCGTTTTTGTGCGGAGATGGAGAATGGATCTGAATCAGGAGCTTTCATCTTGGATGGGCAGAAGAGTCGTCACCTATCCTTACCAGCTCCTGTTGACTTTCTGAATGTCTCACAAGCTTCAGTCATATTATGCGCAACAAATGAAAACTATACGGTATTATTGTCAGCAGTCGCCCTTGTTTCATACACATTTGTTTTGAGTCCTCGTGAAAAACAATGTTTCCGCTTTTGGCAAGTTCGGCAGGTTCCAAGTAAGAGGGAAATTCGAGAAGCCCGAGGTCATGACTTTTTGTGAGGTGGGGCCCACTTTGTGTTTGGCGCTTTTGTCCTCCCCTTCCAAGGAGGGTCAACTGATGCGCAAGCATATAGCCTTGCCCTGGGACTTGTCGTCGTGGCCATGCGTAGTTTTGCATGAGCAAAGGACAAGACTACTGGCAGTATAGGTATACTTTACTGGCCGTCCATGGATCCTTTGGCAAGGATAAGGAGGGACTGCCTATCCCAGAAGAGCTGCCAAAGCGACTCATATCATTTGTTGCTCACATGTTTGGATACGCGCCACGTCTGTTTTACGCATGGCTGCGTCACACAGGTGGTAGGCAGCGGCAACTGGGGTATGGCCATTGCCACCATCATTGCAGGCGGGGAGGGGGGGAGGAGGGTTCAGGCGACGCAATGCTCCAGATGCTCAGAAAATGAGCATCAGCACCAGCGACCCGTTTTGGGCTTTCAATCTCTTGTCAGAAAGGTAGCAAGCCAGCAAAAAGTTATATAGCGGGTTTGTCTGCTGCCGAAAATCTCCTAGCCGCACTTGAGAACTGTTGGCTCTTGGAGGGATGGGCGTCCAGGCAGAAATGGAAAGCCTGCATGTTCCTTGGGCTTTCGTGGGTGGTTTATGGGACATTATGACAACCAGGGGACCTTGCCCATTGCCATGTCAACAGATTAGGAAACCTCTGGTTGATCAAGAAGGATCCTATTTCAGAGGGGCTCCTGAACTTCTGGGCAGAGCAAACAACCCCATCCAATCTGCCGGGCTTGGTAATCCGATATCGTCAGGTTTCCACATGTTGTCAAGTCACAAGACCCCTGACTTTTCGTTTTTTTCAAGCTCCTCGCCACCCTCGGTGCTTTGGCTCGCCCTCATGGGATGCAGCTTTTTTTCTAGGGGAACTGTGCACGTCAGCAAAGCAGATAGGTAACTTGTAGTTGCATGCATCTGTTATAGATATGATTGAATCACATGCTGGCTTAACTTACACCCGCTATGGTCAAATATGACAAGGCTTGTACGGACATAGTTGCAATCTCAGGGTGGAATCAACACCAGGGTACAAAAGTCGGAGAACCCTACAAGAATTAGTTTGTCCGAGTTTCCCTAGAATTCAAAGGCAAGCCCAATAGCGCCGATCTTGGTTCACTTCCAGTCATTGTTGCAATTGCCCAACGTTTGATTTCCGGCTCTCTTGGACAAGTGAGAGGTGGCACCTGAATGTTGGTACGTTCTTGGTGGGCATGAAGTGCCTGGGGTACACGGGCCTTGTTTGGATGCTTGGCCCAGTCAAGGTACCCCATTTTCCCAGGGATCCTTCCTCTCAGGAAACCATCAAAAAACCAGGGGAAACAGCCGGTTTTTGAAAAGAACGATGGTTGAAAAGAATGAGAAATCACCCCCTCGAATAGTGAGAACTCCAGCAACAACCTGGCTTGTCTGTTCCCAGGGACGAAGCCATCTTCTCCAGGCAACACTTCCCGCCATCCAGAGTTCAATGACGACCTGACGGCATCCCGGCACACTTTTGGATGGTTTGGCGAACTGGTTTGGTGGGAGTGTCAACAAAGCTACTGAAAGGGCGCCCTTTTGGATTGCATGTCAAGGGCTAACAGGAAGGCATTCCACTCTTGAGAGTTCTCCCGTTTTGGGACATCGCCCCATATCACAATGCACAAAGGCACAAGGCTCGCAAGCCGCTTGGCATCTTTTGGACTGGGAAGGATTGGGAAGGGGGCGTGGCTTCGACACTTAGCGGCCTGGCAACTCTCCCCTCAACAATTTGGTTCTTTCTTCTTTTAAGGTTTGACGCTTTCAGGTAGCCTCCAAGTGTACAACTATCAACTGCAAGGAGCTTGTTTGAACAGGTTTGTCCCTTGAAGACCACCTTCTGAAAACCAACGGCTCAAACAGTGATGGTTAAAGCATGCTTGGACATGTGGTTGGCCTCATCCTTGACGCTGCCGTTGCCCTTTCTGATTGTTCCCCAGCCATGCCCTTTGCGAGGATGGCCCTTGAACACGTTTTGTTTGCCAACCGAGCAGAGTCTGACTGGGCTCAACATTGACTGAGTTGACTTGGGGGATGACGTGGTCGGTTGTCATCTCCTTTTCCTCGAAGAACATCGCCAGTTTCTCGAACATCTCCAGCCGCCGTAGGTCTGGATGTTTGAGGAGGAGATCCAGCACAAGGGCGTGAAGAGGAAGCTCTCCGAGGTCTTCAACGAGACCAAGGCGCGAGCGCTTGCTTGAGCCCCCTTGCACTCGAGGAAGACACTCGTGAATCCTGGGGGTCAATCAAAAAGAGGGGACATGCATTGTCTTATTTTGAAGCTTTGAACCATCCCCCACCCAACGACCCCTTGAAGGTTCTTCATAAGCCTGGGTGGAATGCGTGTCGTCTGTGCACCTGGAAATCGGTTCGTCTGTGCACCTGATGTTTTTCAACTCATTCAGAGGTTACATGGTTCTTGGAGGCTTTGATGCTTCAAGTCTTTCTCATTGGCTCTCAGGCGCATGTCTGTAACTTTGGGGGTGCGAGATTGAAAGTAGGGAACAGCAGCCTCTTCCATCCATCATTGGATTCAAGACAACATGTCACATGTCACATATTGCATTGTCGCGGTAATGTCGTGTCGTGCTGTGCTGTTTTGCGTTGTGTTGCGAGCCCTAAAATGATGTGAGCCAAACCCAGAAGCCTCAACCCTAAACCCTAAACCCTAAGCCCTGAAATGTAAAGTCATGTGAGCGAAACCCAAAGGCCTAAGCCCGTAACCGAATCCCAAGAACCTAAAACCTAACGTGATGTGAGCGAAGACCAAAAGCCTAAACCCCAAGCCCAAACTAGACCACGGTTGGCCCGAAAGCAGAACATCGCAAGCGAGGTCGGCCCAACGCTGCAGGATGCGTTCTTTTTCCCTACACGAAGCATTCGTGAAGCAAGCGCGAGACAGCACCAGGCAAGGTGCTCTGTGCAAGTTGCTCTGTGCAAGTTGCTCTGCGTAAGTTGCTCTGCGCAAGTTGTTGCTCTGCGCAAGTTGCTCTAGGCAAGGCGCTCTGCGCAAACTGGTCGGTGCAAGTTGGTCTGCGCAAGTTCTCTGTGCAACTTGCTCTGCGCCAGTTGCTCTGCGCAAGTTGCTTTAAAATGCAAGTTGCATCTTGCGACGCCCGCCCGCGGACCAGGGAGGAATCGAACCCCGAAACCCACGCCGGTTCCGGAGCAGGCGCGCGAACCACGAGACAACTTTCGAGGACCATCGAACAACAAAAGTCGCAAAAAACCTCGAGTTTTTGCACCTCGACCACGCCGATCCCCGCAGAGGGTCGCGCGAGCACCGCAGAAATCGCAAAAAAACCTCGAGTTTTTGCACCTCGACCACGCCGATCCCCGCAGAGGGTCGCGCGAGCACTGCAGAAATCGCAAAAAAACCCCGAGTTTTTGCACCTCGACCACGCCGATCCCCGCAGAGGGTCGCGCAGGAACTTTAGAAATCGCAAAAAACCATGAGTTTTTGCACCTCGACCACGCCGATCCCCGCAGAGGGTCGCGCGGGAACTTTAGAAATCGCAAAAACCTCGAGATTTGCACCTCGACACGGCGGGGGAAGCGGAGAGGGAGCGGGACGGGGACCCTCGGAGTCGGACCACGCCGAAATCCCCCAAGGTCGGCGAAGCCACCGCAGAAAATCGCAAAAAAACCTCGAGTTTTTGCAAAACTTACGACCACGCCGATCCCCCGCAGAGGTCGCCGCGAGCAACTGCAGAATCCGCAAAAAAAAACTCCCGAGTTTTTGCACCAGGAGAACTCGACCCGAGCCGATTCTATCCCCGCAGAGGGTCGCGCAGGAACTTTAGAATCGCCAAAAAAACCATGGAGTTTTTGCACCTCGACACGCCGATCCCAATCCCCGCAGAGGGTCGCGCGGGGAAACTGTTAGAGAATGCAGAAAAAAACCACGGGTTTTTGCACGGTCGACCACGCCGATCCCCGAAGAGGGTCGCGCGAGCACCGCAGAAAATCGCAAAAACCATGGGTTTTTGCACCCGCTCGCCACGCCGACCCCGCAGTAGGTCGATTTTCGTGTTGTGTCGGTCGGCGTTCAGAATGGAATTTGCCCGGCCCTAAGAAGAATTTGACCAGGATTTGAGCAAGTCAATTGCACTTGACTCCTTCCTTGTTTCTTGCAACCTTGCACTTGACTCCTTGCTTGTTTCAAGGAGTCATTGCAAGGAGTCATTGCAAGGAGTCATTGCAAGGAGTCATGGGCAAGAGTCAGTTGTCAGATGAGTCATTGCCAAGAGTTCATTGCAAGGAGTCATGTGCAAGAGCATTGCCAAGGGAAGTCAGAATGCCATTGCAAGTTGCAAGGAGCAAGGGCATGGAGTCAAGGCAAGTCGCAAGTGCACGGATTAAGTGCAAGTTGCAAGTGCAATGGAGCCAAGTGCAATGAGCCAAGTGCACGGAGTTAAGTGCAAGTTGCAAGTGCATGGAGTCAAGTGCAAGTTGCAAGTGCAAGGAGTCAAGTGCAAGTTGCAAGTGCAAGGAGTCAAGTGCAAGTTGCAATGACTCCTTGCAATGACTCCTTGCAATGACTCCTTGCAATGACTCCTTGCAATGACTCCTTGCAATGACTCCTTGCAATGACTCCTTGCAATGACTCCTTGCAATGACTCCTTGCTCCTTGCAATGACTCCTTGCAATGACTCCTTGCAATGACTCCTTGCAATGACTCCTGCAATGACTCCTTGCAATGACTCCTTGCAATGACTCCTTGCCTTGCAATGACTCCTTGCAATGACTCCTTGCAATGACTCCTTGCAATGACTCCTTGCAATGACTCCTTGCAATGACTCCTTGCAATGACTCCTTGCAATGACTCCTTGCAATGACTTTCATGATGATGATTCCTTGCAATGACTCCTTGCAATGACTCCTTGCAATGACTTTCATGATGCTGATTCCTTGCAATGACACCTTGTAATGACTCTCAATGAGAACAACTCAAGTGAACCCAGCGGAAGAACCCTTCGCCATGCTTTCGGGAAAAAACCTAACGTGATGTAAGCCAAACCCAAAAGCAAAACCCTAAACCTATTACAAACCTAAAACCTAAAGTGATGTGAGCCGAACCCAAAATCCTATACCCTCAGCCGAAATCCAGAGCCCTAAAACCTACTGTGATGCGAGCCAAGCCCAAAAGCCTAAAGCCTAAAGTGATGTGAACCAAGCCCAGAAGCCTCAACCCTAAACCCTAAACCCTAAGCCCTGAAACCTAAAGTCATGTGAGCGAATGATGCGAGCCAAGGAAAAAACATAAATCCTAAAGCGATGCGATCCATCTGTAGGAAAGGTGCGCAGCGCTGGGGAAACGGGGCAGTCGGGTGCGCGGATGAACGGAATTCTCAGTGCGCGGTTGACCCTCATTCGCTAGGTGCGCAGATGAACTGATTTTCAGGTGCGCAGATGAGCCCAGACCCAGCCTGCGTTCCTGAAGGTTTGTTAGGGCATTTTGAACGGTGGCTGGCGAATGACCACCTGTGGCTGATGGCTCATGCCTAACTTGGTGCATGAAAGAGATCCCCCTGCTCGGACTCGAGGTGCCCACACTTTTTGACGTATGATGTTGGCGATTAGAAGAGGAGATGTTTTCCTTAGACCAGGTATTCCAGAAAAGTCAGTTGAAATAGGGCGATCATGTAAGCTCAGCAATCTTTGACAAATGTCCAAGAGGCCCGTCTCTGAGGCATGAGATAAATTCAGACTGCCCTTTGGTCTGTTCCCTAAGTGTCTGGTCTGGGCGAACATGGCAAATTCGTGGGTAAAAAGCACCCTTTTCCAATAAGGGACTGACAGCCAGCTCGCATGTGTGAGGGTTCGGGCGAAGGGGGTGGGGGGTTACGCAGGACCCCGGCAGGATGTAGGTTCAATCTCTGAGATGAGACTTTTTCTTTGACCGAGTATTTTGGATTTTGGAGGTGTGGCCGAGAATTTTTGCATCCCTGTCTGTTTCTGGTGGTATCGCTTGGTCACTTCTGTAGTCAGCGAAGCATGCCTGGGCTGCCGCGTTTGCACCGCAATCCAACTTAACCCAAAGAGAAATGCTGTAGATATTCCTTTGATCATTGGGTGCCCCCATTAAATTGGTATGGATCAAAATCAAACCACCAGGGGACCGCAGGTTTGGTTCCATTTTTCAGGGTTCCATTTTGGGTATCTATTTTTGATCCGCAGCCAAATGGTTTTCAGCAAGAAGCAGTTGTCACGAAAAAGGAGCCGCCAACGGAAAGCAGTCCTTGGACTGCACATATAACATAGTCTGCAGACAAGCAGTTAGCATGTTTGACATACAGTTACAGGTTTATGCTGATGTCTGTTGGGACTGTTTAGCCAAAGCGGATGGTTTGTCCTTCGATCCTGTGTGCCCCCAGGCGATTGTTCAACCAAGGCGGGGATTGTCTTTTGATCTTCCTTTTTGGCTCCCAAAATGTGTAGAAGCCCGAAGGGGTCGCTTTGCTTACCAGAACAGTGGGTCGAAGGGGCGCTTTCCGCGGGATCCTTGCCAGGAGAACGTGAAGTACCTGCCGGGCGTGACGCTGCCAGAGCACGTGACCGCCGAGACGGACCTCAAGAAGGCGCGCGCCAAGCGCTCTGCTTTAGCCGGAGCTCACGGCTCTGCAAGTTTCCAATGGACCTCTCAAGGGTTCAGGATTCCTTTCAGGGTGAGCCAAAGCACAGCCAATTCATGGCCTGCCAAAAGGTTCAGGATTCCTTTCAGGGTGAGCCAAAGCACAGCCCTGTTCATGTTTATCAACATGCCCCGCGAGTATTGCATCACGAATGCCGATAACAGGCTCCGTGGCAACGCCCGTTCCAGCCCAACTTGACAGCCTGGCCGAGGCAGTCATGTATGCAGACGTCCTGATCTGGGTGCTCCCTCACCAGTTCGTGGCCGGCCGCCTGAATGTACCCGAGTGCAAGGCGCAAGGCGCAAGGCGCAAGGCGCAAGGCGCAAGGCGCAAGGCGCAAGGCGCAAGGCGCAAGGCGCAAGGCGCAAGGCGCAAGGCGCAAGGCGCAAGGCGCAAGGCGCAAGGCGCAAGGCGCAAGGCGCAAGGCGCAAGGCGCATGTTCAACCTCTGCCGTTTGATCAAATCACTGGTTTTTAGACCAAATTGAATTGCTGATGGCACGGCCTCTCAACCAGCCTGACAAGGGTTCAGGTACCTCATTTTCTATCGTGAGCACCAATGATGTGCCCAAAATCCAACCCCTCCCTCCCTCCCTGCCTCCCTTCCTTCCTTCCTTCCTTCCTTCCTTCCTTCCTTCCTTCCTTCCCTCCCTCCCTCCCTCCCTCCCTCCCTCCCTCCCTCCCTCCCTCCCTCCTTCCTTCCTCTAAAATTCTCCTTGGCCAGACCTGTTACGATCCTTTGCTCGTTCCTGGAGTTGATTCGGATTTCGCGGAGGCGATTCGCTCCTTGATTACGCAGCCGGCGCTTAGCTTTCACAGCCGGCGCTTAGGCCCGAACAGTTCAGAACATGGGCAAGATCAAGGAGACCTGCGTGTCCGTGAGTGGGGGCCCTCAGCACTCGAACAACCTGTGTCTCAGGACTCAGGGCTGAAATGGCAGGTGTTTTACTATAAGGGGCTCGTCGAGTACACAATAGGTTGGTTACATCCATAGAGCAACGAAGAGTTCGAGAAAACAGTTAGCAAGGTGTGGGTTGGTAACATCCGTACTTCTTTGTATAGCTGAGCTGCGTTGCACGCACGTCGTGCACTTGCTCGCTTGCACTCACTCGCAGTCGCAGTCGCACTCGTACTCGCACTTGCACTCGCACTCGCACTCGCGCTCGCTCGCTCGCTCGCTCCCTCGCTCCCTCGCTCGCTTGCTTGCTTGCTTGCTTGCTTGCTTGCCTGCTTGCTTGCTTGCTTGCTTGCTTGCTTGCTTGCTTGCATAAGTTGAGGCCTCATCAAGGGCGGCCTCGAGTTGGAGGGCGGCAAGCTGGGGCTTTGCTCCGACTTGCTCCGGAAGCTCCTGAACCATGAGGCCAGCGATCGCAGAGTTCAAAATGGCACGAGAGCTTGACAAGAGATCAGGAAGTGGAAGGCTTGGCTTAGCCATTCGATTCTCGCCTTCGTTGTTTGAAAAAGTGCCCTCCCGTTTTGATGGACGTGGAGGTTTGACGAATGTCAGCGCTTTGTTTGGAATGCTGCCTCCAAAGGGGGTCACCAAAACGGTCACTATCTTGTCAACCCCCTGCCTTTAACGCATGGGAGTCGTCAGGGTGCTTTGGTGTCGATCGCTGTTTCGACCCTCTTACAGATGCAACGACGCACTGAGTTCTGCCCATTTCACACACAGGCACACATTCCCAGTGGCTACAGGTGCGGGCCACTGTAGGAAACCAAGCTTCTTCCCTTTAGGTTACTTCTGATGGCTCCACTGCTGTGACAGGCATACAAACTGTTTTTGTGGATGTCACCGCGCAGGTGGGAGTGCTCATGGGCGCTAACGCAGCGTGCTCAGATCTCTAGGAAATGCGTTGCTTGGGACAAATCCTTTTTTCGCTAACAATGTTGGTGCGTTTCGAAGCTGCGGATGAGGGTGGGAAGCAATCCCTGGTCAGCCTTGTGTACCCGCAAGAGCATGATCTGAAGATCTATTTAGTGAACTGGTGAAGAGGTGTTGTTTGCTTTGCCCCTGCGAATGTAGCTAGATGGTAGCCGCATGTTTCATCGCAGCTTCAGGCGAACGACCCGCTCGAACGCGTGTACTCGACTCGAGTTAGGATGTATGCACCCCTGCTTGGGATCCTAAGTGTGTGTCGAGAATATGGGTTTCCTTTGTCAAGTGACAAGCTAGTCATATAGGATTCGCCAAATTGGGGGTTTCTTTTTGAATTGGATTGTCTTTAAAGGGAAACTAGAAGGACATTTGCCTTGATAGGACACATGCAAAAAGACAATCCATTCTCAAAGGTTGTGTCCTCCATGGGTAAGGCTGGAGCATGGGCTCCCAGACTTCATTTCCCGCCAAGGGAAAAGGTCAAACTTTTGCAGGGCCGGGGTCTGAGTCAGATGTTCTCGCTGGCTAAGGTTGAAGGCCAAGAGCAAGGCAATATTTTGTTGTTGCCATAGCGAATAAGCGATCAACCACGTACAACACACTTCATGTGTTTGTTGTAGGCTACCTATGAAAGGAGGGGCCTAAACAAGTACTGCTCATGCCTATGTGTCTGAATATATATATTTATATGTATATATATATATATTATATTATATCAGGATACCCCTGGGCTAAGTAAGCAGAACCTTGGTGCTGCGGATAATGGCTGCTGCTGCTGCTGCTGCTGCTGCTGCTGCTGCTGCTGCTGCTGCTGCTGCTGCTGCTGCTGCTGCTGCTGCTGCTGCTGTTGTTGTTGTTGTTGTTGTTGTTGTTGTTGTTGTTGTTGTTGTTGTTGTTGTTGTTGTTGTTGTTGTTGTTGTTGTTGTTGTTGTTGTTGTTGTTGTTGTTGTTGTTGTTGTTGTTGTTGTTGTTGTTGTTGTTGTTGTTGTTGTTGTTGTTGTTGTTGTTGTTGTTGTTGTTGTTGTTGTTGTTGTTGCGGTTGTCGTTGCCGTTGTCGTTGTCGTTGTTCTTGTTGCTGCTGCTGCTGTTGCTGTTGCTGCTTGTTTCCTTCCTTCTTCCCTTTTTCCTTCCTTTCTTTCTTCCTTTCCTTTCTTTCTTCTTTCTTTCTTTCTTCCTTCATTGCTTTCTTTCTTTCTTTCTTTCTTTCTTTCTTTCTTTCTTTCTTTCTGTTTTTCTTTCTTTCTTTCTTTCTTTCTTTCTTTGTTTCTTTCTTTCTTTCTTCTTTCTTTCTTTCTTTCTTTCTTTTATCTTTGTGGATTTCTTTGTGTATTTGTTCGTTTGTTTGTGCATGTTTGCGGGCTCACACTCTGACATGAGATGCATTGCCTTGGTGTTCCGTTTTCAGGCACAATTTGCCGATTCTGCTCGCAGCACCAGCTCAAGCTGAAGACTCCGCGCCTTGTGTCCCCATGGCCCAGACGGATGCAGAGAGGGGCGAGGGCCCGGTGGTGCAGGGCAGGCCGGTGGGCCAGCCCGTAGGTGCCCAATACCATGTGGCAGCCGTGCCGCAGGTGGTGGTCGTGGGGACGTTGCCGCCGGAGGAGAGGGCCCAGTATGGAGGGACAAGCAGGTCAACTGGCCCAACGTAAAATTCACATGCGTGTTTCATCTTAATTGCGCTTTTGGGCCCATGAACACGAGCTCCAGATATAGCCAGTATGGATGGATTTCCGTCGTCACTAGGAGCAGATCATCCTGAATTACCGTATGGCAGTCATGTGCTTTGCTGGCTTGGACTTGATCAGCACCACCCTTTACGTGCTCACGGCGTGGTTTTTGGATGACCGATTCAAGGCACGACTGATGAGTGGACAAGAGGGATGGGGGTCTAGCCTAGAAAACGCCCACGCCTTTCCTAGCGGCGTGTACAGTCTCCACAGGGGGACCCGACCGTGTGATCGGATCAGGTCCTGATGACAATGTCTGAAGATATGAAACACTGGCTATGACAGCCCTGCCATTTTCCCATTACTCCTATGGCTTTGCGGCTTCTGCCCAAATGATCCACAACAAGGGGAAACATAGGTGGAAGCAAACCAGGATCTTGTCATTGCCAGACTTGGCAAACCATTTGTGGCAACTTTCGCCTTCTTGGCTTTCCGTCATGTTGCAACCACTGAGCAACAAGCAGTAGTGGCCAACAGAAATCAGATCCAACATTCAGGACTGTCACAAAGACTCTCCCATTTGGCCATATTTGGCCAAACATGGTCTTTGGTTTGTGGGCGGTTTGTGGGTGGTTTGTGGCTTTGACTCTTTGGGCCCCTGGTTTTTTCTTTTCTTTCTCTCCGGGTGGCACCAGGGGACCGCAGGTTTTGGTCCTTGGTTCCATTTAAAAGGGTGGATTTGGGGTAGCTATTTTTGACCCACAGCCATGTGTCCAAATGGGGGGAACCCAACAATTGTAGTTTATGCTTGGTTCCCCTTTAAAAACACCAACAAAGCACACAAGCCCAAAACCATAGGTGTCCTTCCTGGTGGTTTTGGCCGAAAAATCGAGGGCGATTCCTTTGCCCGGCGGTTCTTTTTTCTCATCTACCATCTATTTCCAACAAGCCGCCTCCCAGCTGCCCATTTGGGTGATGTGACATGTGACAGGCCTGGGAGCTGCTGTTGCTGGTCTTCGTGCTGGGCCCGCTCTTCGGGTTTCTCGGGGCCAAGAAGCTGAAGCGGCGCCTGGTGGCCGCGTACGTGGGCTTCTGCGTCTGCAAGGCTCCTTTTTCCGCGGGGTTTTGGAGCAGGGCTCCTGAACAGAAATTCATCTTGCAACCAGTTGAAACATGGCTTTTTTCGACCAAAATAAAGGGAAACCACCATTTGCAAGGCAATGTTCAGGTGTACAATGGAAGGATCCCTCCTCCGTGGTTTCGGTGCTTCGATTTTATATAATCCCCTGCGATTTGGAATGGTCTCACCCGGACCTTTTCCCCATCATATCCACAATGAGGGAAAGAGGATGGTCACACCTAGATCTTTCTCAAAACTGCACAGATGAACCCAGGTACGAACCCACGGCCACTGTGGGGCTCTTTGGTGGCTGGTTTGCCACAAGTATTCTACAGTCAATGGTTGACACGCTAAGGCCCAAGCGGGGGGTGTCCTAGCAAAGGATATGACCAGATTCCACGGCAGATGTCTATTGAACATCCAGGAAAGGCGTCCATTACTGCGGGAGGCCTGTCCACGCAAGGCCTATGGCAGATATTGAAATCGATGATCAGGTTGGGAAAGGGTGTGTTTGTCCGGGGAGGGTTCCACTACACGAATCCAAGGTCAGCTTGCGATATGTTAGTTGTCAACATGCCCCCCCCACAATATATATATATATATGTATAAAAGTAAAGGACGAAAAGAAAGAGTAAGACCCCCCAAAAAGGGGCAAGATCCCAAAAAGCTTGCTTCTTTCTGACCAGGCGGTAGTAATGCACGTTTTGGGTAATGTAACATCTCAAGCTGGTGTGATAGTTTCTTTTCCTTTGCAAAAGGAGACGCTGGGCTTCATTGTTCTTGTGCCAAAGTCCAAGGTAAACGGAACAGAGGTTGACATGGGGAGATGTTGCCTTGGGCCACATCCACTGACAGCCCCGTTTCGGTTTGAACCAGTCTGGTGCTGTCGGCTTTTGTGGGTGGGTGGCTGGGAGGCTGGGAGGCTGGGTTTCCCTCTTTTTCAAGTTGAACAAAAAGCCACATGTGAGGGCAGTGGGGGAGATTCCAAAGCAGGAATTGGTGCTGGGCTTTTTTGAGGGGGAAGAAGGTCAGCTTTCAGATCGCCACCGCCCTCTTCACCATGTGGCTGTGGGGCATCATCTTTGCGATCATCCAGTTCTGGATCCTGAAGATCGTGACCCGGACCAATGGGTAGAGGGATGGCTAGCTCCAGCTACTCAAAGCCTAGCTTCTGCACGAGGTTGGACATGGGAATCCCTCGAAAACTCGGTTTCCTCCAGGCTTCCTTGAACGCAAGGCCCAAATTCGCCGAGTGGGTCGGACTTAGTATGTTTTTCCTGAACCGGTGATGATGTTTTGCCATGTTTTCTTCTCCCAGCTGCACCTTTCGCTTTTGTAGGGCTTGGCTTTTGATAATTGTTGAAGGGAAATGCAGGGCGGCCCATCAGAGTGAACATTTTGCAAAGTTTACGATCACTTTTGGGGAAGGATCTCTTTTCATCACCATTTAAAGGGTACTTTGAACACGTCCCTTTCGTTCATCCTGCTATTTTTGTTCAAGGGAGCAAACCACAACATGCTTAGACCGTTGTTTAAGCCAACAGCGACGTTAGCGACGCAAGGGTATTTGTCACTTTCTGACTATTTCGGCGCAAACCTCGATGTGCTTAAGTGGCATTTCTCGCATCCTACTTCTGGGAGGGTGGCGCGGGGAAGGGGTGGGGAGTCGGCCGCATACATGCTTCTGCCAGTAGCAGGCCGCGTGCGAAAGGGAGCCAACTTGAGAGCGCAAGCACCACCTTTCTTTGTTCTCGCGCAGCTGACGGAAAGCGTTTTCGCTTCTTTCGCTCGCGTTTACGCAGCATTCATGTCCTGTAGTGCGTCATTGCTCTCAAGCGAGGAGGGCATTTCAGCCAACGCGAAGAAGGCATCGCCTTTTTCGGTGGGCCATCTCCAGCAGGACCTGCTTCTCACGTCCCCAAGGAGAAGGTCGCCGTTCACGGTGCGTCACACGCTCGAAGACTGGCTTACTATGCGCTTGCGAAAGAAAACCAACTTGATAGCAAGCAATCACTACAATTTTTGGTTCTTTGACGACTGACGGAACCGTCCGCGCTTTTTTTGCGCTATGAACGTTTGCGTTTGCGCGGTTTAAACTTCCCGCGGCTCTTGATTCGCTGAAGCGAGGAGGGTTTGTGTCAGCGCTAAGAGTGCGTAACCTTTATCGTCCTAGCAGAAAAGTGGGTACCACCTCCAGCACATGGATCCTTTTCCTCCGTTATTTAGAAAACGTGGTAGCAGAAAAGTCGCAGATCGTCTTCAAATCTGGGTGAGCCGTTTGCAACGAGAGCCCGGGCTTTGGCCAGTGGCAGCGCGTGTTTTTTGGTAGCATGGCAACCTCAAAGACGAAGATCAGTTTGATCGCGCAAAGGCTACGTTGCTTCGGTTTTACGCAACTGGGCCAAAAGACACCTCATCGTTTTTCTCACATGACTGGGAACTAAGAATTGCGGTATTTCGGCAATCAAGTTGGTCTTTCGAGATCGCGAAAACAAGTCTTTGCTTGTCGGACACTTCATTTCAAGAGCACGACCTTCTGCTGGCAAAGAAGCACGCATGCAGGTTCGAGCCTTGCGAACAGCGCTTTTAACATCCTGCAAATGACTGCTTAAGCGCCCTTTTGGATTCCCTTCAAAGTGGGCCGGGCTAAAGCAGCTTGAGCAAAAGCCCGGTGCTGCGCTTTCAGGTGATGACCTTCTGGATGGCTCTGGGCGTGGCCAGCCAGGAGCGGTGCAGGGCGTTGTTGGAAAGCAAGGAAGTAAGCATCCAGATGGTGTACTGGTGAGCCGCGGTGAGCCACGGTTAGTCGGGTTCTTCGGAGGACGTCAAATGGTTAGCGGCACGACGGCCGGTGGAGTACTAATTCGCTGCGGCAAAAGTCCCGCTCTGTGCCCTTTGCAGCGCTTGCGAACGCCAGGCGGCTCGCTGAGGGCCATGACTTTAATCAATTTTGACACGCTTATGAGATTGAATCCACTTGAATCACTGGTCCATGCTTTCAGAGTTTTTCTTTTGCCTGTTGGAGACCTGGATGCGGGAAGGTTGGCAAACCACGCGGGGCGCATCTTTTTGTGTGCTGGCTTCATCAAGTGGATTCAGGTTTCGTTTGTGCACGCTGAGCCTAGGCTTCGATTTTCGTGATACAAAGCCATGTGCTCTTGGGGGTGATGGCTCTGTGTGGTCACGAATCCACGAGCAATGATTTGCAAACACACCACCGATTGGGGATAGTATGAACGAGTTGTCCACTTGTGCCCTGCCTGGTTTCCTCAAAGTGAGTGCTTGATACGGCTGTAGGCTAGGATCTGTAGGAGGTTAGGGCGGTGTTCAAGCCCAGAGGTCCCGCATGGCCAAGGGTCAGCGGAAGCCAGCTCCCTTCAAATCGGGGACCTGCCCTCTCCAGGACCTTTCTCATGATTTCCGAAGATCCAGCACCAATGGCAATCCTCGGCCAATCCTAGTTGCGAAAACCATGCCCGCTGGATTCTTGCAAGATTGCCAGTTCCATGATTGAACCTTGTTGGCGGTCGTCGGTCAACTTCAATGGACAGGATTCAGAAACCCTCAAGGAGGCAGGACACTCAGATACCCCTGTCATGAGTCCCTTATATGCTTCTGCAGCCAAGGCTTCCTCCCCCCCCCAAAAAGGATGTGGACTGGCTAGCCATTACACAGCACGACGAGCAAGTTTGGATCAGGCTCTGTGCGTTTGCAGGTGTATGAGAGGGAGCTACACTAGTCGACCTGAACTTTGATCGGATCTAAGACGGCTATCAAAGCCACACAAAAAGCCCGCTCATGACTGGTGGCTTCTATCAAGCATTCGATTTACCTTTTGAGTCTGGATGCCTCCCTAATTATTGGCAGCCTCGAGACCAACACAAGCTTCGATTTTAAATTGTCCAACATATTCCACAAGATTGAGCACTCTCCGCATTCACGCACCTGTGATGCATACTTGACACATGATAGATGCGTATTGGTATTCTCACAAATGTTTATTCTTTCTCAAGGGCTACATTTTTGACCTGCTTTTAGAGTTCAGGCAGCACCAGCTGTTGCAGGGTGCTTGTTTTGGCTAAATCCTACCAATTAAGCCTAAACATCGGCTTCTGTGGGAGACCCGGCGGGGTTTCTCTCAGAGGCCTCTGGCTACAGGTTGCCAACGAGGTTGCCGCCGGCGAGTTTTGCGAGGCCACGCTGGGCATTAAGGCCGGCGCAAGCGATGGGGACCGCTTGATGGCTGATCGTCGGTTTGGGTTGCATCCTTCGGGGAGGGATTTGGTCCAAAGGGGTGAGTAGGGCACTGGGGATGGATGCAGTTCTGACGTTTCTCGATACTTTGGGAAGCCTCTTTAGTACAGATTGCATCCATGAGAGAGTGTTTGGAAACGGACAAGTGAAGCAGGCAAACGCTGTGCAGAAGGAGTGAGCAAGAAATCAGAAGGGCCTGCTCCCCGACGAAGCGGCCACAGGGGATCCGATAGATGTCTCAACAAATAATTTTTTTGAGCAGAGTAGATTGCTCCCTGCTTGGCACACTCAAATGGGATGTGCGCCTTTTTGGACATGCTCTCACGCACATTGCCATAAGAAGGAAGATGATGCCAAATGCAGAAATCGGGCTTTGCCCTGTGGGTGTTCAACAGTGCTTCCTAAAATGGAATGGGACCCCCCCAAAAGATGGGTTTCCGCTTTGCAATACATGAGAACCACCCGTGAACGTAACATCATCAAGCGGCCAGCAAACGGAATTGACAAATCCTTGAATCGGGCCTTCTGCAACAGCAGAATATTTTTCAGACAACAAAAGTCACAACAGCTGAGAATGCCGACAAGCCGCATGATTCGCAAGGAGCCCGTCTTTGGAGGATCAATGATTTTGACAACCCCTGCCAGATCACAGAGCGTATGCATAGACACGCCAAGGGAGCGAACCAAAGAAAATGCTTGTGTTTTTTGCCTGTGCGTAGGAACACTGGGAAGATCAGCCGTGTTGAAGCTTCTTCCAGCTGCAGCTCGCTTAGCCCCCCAAGTGGGCCAAACCTGTGGCAATCCTCCACGCAGGATAAAAAGTACCAGGCACTCCTGTGCAAGCTGTCGCTTGGCCGCGCATAGGGTATCGTCTGGGCAGGGAGCTTTCGTTTTCCTGTGTACAGGCGGGCGTGCGGGCGTGTCTACTTGAGTAGGGATCCTTTGCTCTCCTTGTGAATGCTCCCTTTTTGAATGGATGGGTTTTTCCGGGCTTCCGACGCGCGCTCGTTTTGCTCTGCCCGAGCCGCCCCCAGCCGCACCCAAGGAGACCCCAAAGAGCAAGCAAAGGAACGCACGCTAATTCAGAACTCTGAACAAATGAAATGAGCACACCGGCATGCTCCGGAACAAGTGGGAGTACATTGGGACCATTTGCCCCAACGCAACAAGTGTTGGCCATGGTTCAAATACACTTTTCCCCAAACTGCTGAGCTGTTGGGGTTCTTAATTCATGCACATAATTGCTCCCAGTCATAGGTTGTCGTGCTTGCTGACCCGGACCTTGTCGCAGTTTGTCTCCCCACTTGTTTTGTCTCCCAGCTTGCGCTTGCTCTTTTGGATGTTGTCACGGCTTGTCTCCCCACTCGTCTCCCATGCCGGTGGTGTGCCTAGTAAGACTGATCACGGTTTGCAGGGGCGCCATTGGCGCAGGTTGTGCTTTCTTTTCAACCATCGCTTGCGGTGTTGCGTTCCACGTGTTTTTATTTGTTGACCACCCTCAGACGAGACAAAGACTTCGATGGCTCGTCGATTTGTGCGTGTTTCTGGTTGATGTCAAGCTGACGGGACCGAAGCCGCGAGTCTGAGGATGGGAAAGACTGATGTTTTGTTTTGGTTCTCCCATTCGCTACAAATTCTGGCACTGACATGTGCCGCAATTGGGAGATACGCATCCCAATTCTTCGGCGCCAGCGTGGTGCGGGTCTTTCAGGACTGGCAGTCTGCTTGATGTTTGGATATGTTGGTTGCAGTGACATGTGGGGAAGCACAGCAACCAGCCACGACCACCGCACATCACTTGCAGCGCCCGTGCTTTTGTTTTCCATGCATGGAAACAAAACTGTGGCAAGACCTGATGAAAACAGTTGGTTGCCCAGTTGGTGGTTTCCCGTTCTTTGCAACTCATTCATGCGAGGCAATGCCTTGTCCTTGATTTGGCAGCTTGATTTGGCTGCCCAGACATGGTCTCCAGTTCTTGAGAATTTGTGGGCCAATTGAAGCCCGGCGCTTGCTGTTTGGGGTCGATGCGGGTGGGCAGCAAACCAGGGATTGGCCCCGTTGGGTGATTGCCAATTGGAGTTTAGGTTGAAGTAGCCGTTTCCGGGGCTTCTTCACCTCCCATTTTTTCACCGCTTGAACCGAGAAATGCGCTTGTGCGTGTGCCAGTCAAGGCCACTGATCTGTATACGCCCTTGATCAAGTTTTACCAGCAACCGCGCGGTTGTTTAGTGGTCAGTTTTTGTTTTGCTGACTGTGGAACCCGACAACAAAGACGCTTCGAGTTTCCCCACGGCCACAGGAGAACTAAGACCACGCCAAGTTGCTTGTTTCTGATGTGCTGTTCCCACCCCCCACCCCCCACCCCACCCTACCCCACCCCACCCCCCGTTTTTCTTAGGTTCGACTGCCGCACCTTCCGGGTGACGGCCACGGATGACATCCCAGGCGCTGCTGTTCTCCTCGAAGCCCCAGAGAAGCCACACGTTCGGTGCCGTAAATGGCTGCGGGTCAAAATGAAACCACCAGGAATTGGACCGCAGGTTTGAATGTCCTTGGTTCCTTTTAAAATGGGCTCCATGTTCGGTACCTATTTTTGACCCACATCCAAATATGAAACCACGCGGGAACAAGCTGGTTACACACTTTGCTGTTGCTTTTTCCCCATCTGTTGTGGCTGGTTCAATGGCAATATTGGGCGGATCCATTGTAACACTTTTCTTGCATACAGGGCCCATCCGTTACGTTTTGCTCCGGGTTGACCGCAGCTTTTGAAAGGCGGCCTTGGTTCAGCATGTACTGACTCCTGTTGGAGGATACCCAGCTTGACAGGCTCGATTCCTGCGAGAGGAACATGCTGGCTTTCTTCAGATTTCGTGGGAGTCCTTCAGACGGCACTCTCCCCATGGGCAATGGCAACTTCAAGGACCCCTTCCGCAAAACCGACCGTTTGCGGGGGAACCGCCTTTTCTTGGGTTCCCATTTTGGCTGGCAGGAGAGTATGAGAAAACGATTGGCAGCGGCCGAACACACATTTTTTGCTTCGTATGGGATAATTATGCTGGTGAATGGGATTTTTGTGTGTAGCCCGACCTTTGAATTACTGAATCTTGGAAGCCAAATGGTTGCAGATGCCAGCGATTGAGCTTTAAGACTTTAGATGACGTCTTCGTTACATAATTGAACATTTCGGGGGCTTCCCAAGATTACTTTTGGTGGTGGACGTCATGTTTACAACTTTACGGGTAATTTGGACAGGTCCGCTTTGGACTCGTTTTAGGCCGGGACAACCCAATGTTTGGTCCCCTGTCTTTTGTCCGTTGGGAACTCCCCCTGCAAAGCATGGAATGGGGGAGCCTGGAGCGAAGAACGCCACGGGAAGAATTCTTTCCCGAAAGGAAGAACCCTGAAATTCGGGCGGCATATGGTGTTCCCTCAAGCAGAACCACCAAACACTGGCATGTTGCATCATGGCTGCCCTACAGAACCACCAAAACCTGGCATGTTGCGGCCCTGTAAGCACCATCCTACAGGCAGTCCTTTTCTCAATTTCGATTGACGCCTCGAGGCGTCGAGCTGTGTGGCGCCTTGAAGAACGTGGTGGCGCTCGGCGCAGGCCTGCAACAGCCTGACCGGCACGAGTCGAGTCAGGTTCGGAATTCCACGCCCAATCGAATTCAAGGGACGAACACGTCTCGCAAAAAGGGCAGATCTTGTTCCAGATCAAGAAGAGCCAAGAAGCACCTCTTTTTTTAATGACAGCAGTCTCGTGGACATACAGCATTACAAATTGAATGTACATATGAGACATGGACAAAATATGTTGTTTCCCAAGAACAAGGCAACATAGGCAAAACTGCATCAGCTGAATCTTCAGGTAGGTAAATAGTTGATGTGTCGGATCCGCCACAGAGCCAAGTTCGCAAGATGCCGCTTTTTGGGTTCTCCCTTTTCACTCTTCCTTCTTCCTTTGGGGGGGCTGGGATTCCCTTCCTCATCCACCAGACATGAGAGCACTTTGTCGTGGCTTTTTGCTCTCCTGCTCGCCTCGATACGGACTGGCGGTGCATTGGATTGCTTTGGGAGGCTTCTGCGATGGCCTGGAGTACGGCGGCAACACCAAGGCGGCCTTGATCCGCATTGGCCTGCAGGAGAATCGACTTTGGATTTTCCGAATTTCGTGACCGAAGGAGTTGGTATTGGTATTGAACCGATAAACATTTTGAGGCAGTGTTTAGCGCAACATTGGCCCAGAGGATCCAACGCTTGCTTGCAACTCTGCGGATTCGAGTCCTGGGTACTGTTCGAGTCTTGGGTATGTTGCGAGAAATTTCAAACACATACTAGCACGCTATGGTAAATTGCAAGAAATCCTTGTTTGTATGCCAAAAGCGGGCCTTGGGCAAAAAGGATGCCCTTTGCCATTGGAAACATGCATTAGGATTAGGCAACCCTCCGTTTTTTTTGGCTTTGTACTCTATAGGTCAACTTCAATGATTCCTCCCAGGGCTTTCAGGCTCATCTTGGCCCCGTCTTCACTGGCCCATGTTGAGGAGATGAAGACCTTCATCCGCTACTTCTACCCCGAGGTGTGCGTCTGGTTGTGGGGAGTTTTGGAACCGCCCGCGGAAAGCAGCGAAGGAAAGAAGCTTCTTGGGCAGTCATGTGGCGAGCGAGGAGCCCCCTCAACTTCAGCGCTTGCCTTTTGGCCCAAAATTGGCACTTTTTTGGGGAGAAGGTCTAGTAACCAGGTCTAAAGGCAAACCCTACTAGAATTGGCCTCAATGGTTGTTATTCATGCAGTTTATTTGCGGAATCTATTGCGGGGTGTTCTCGCGGTGTTTCTCGCTGGGCTCAAACACTGGCTCGAAGGCTGCTTCCCAGCAAAGCTGAGGGCAGATTTGGTAATCGTTTTGACACAACTTGCCCTGTTTCACGGATCCCCTTGCGAATGAATCAAGAGGAAACCATGTTTTTTTCGTGCTGCTGATTCGTATTTTTATTTTCCCAATCCAGCGAGCAAGCGCAATGTGAGACTCCGCCCACCTCGATTTGCCACCCACAAAGTGTCGTAGTTTCAGATTTCGCAAAGTTTGGGAATCCCAGATAGGTATTGGTGGACTCAACCGCAGAAACATGTGCAAGCGGCATGTGCTACCTGCAACGACGAAATGTCAGCTCCAAACATGTGGACCCAAGTGCGAAAGTGCCACACGAATCATTTGTAGCTCATGGAGCCGACTGTTTTGTGGCTTTTCATTGTCTGGGGTCCCCTGAAAGCACCTGAGAGACACGCAATGGGTCCATGAACAAAGCATTTCTTTGTTTGGCAAATTTGGCACTTCACTCCCGTTAGCTTGTGGGCTCCACAATGCACCTCGAGGGCTTCTTTGCCTTTATTCCTCCGAGCCTAACTCCCTAAGGATCTATACAACCGCAAGCAGTTGAGCAAGCGAGCGAGCCAGCCAGCCAGCAAGCACTCATGCACGCAAGCCACAAGCAGGCGGGCAGGCGGGCGGGCGGGCGGGCGGGCAGGCAAGCAGCCAGGCAAGCAAGCAAGCAAGCAAGCAAGCAAGGAAGCAAGGAAGCAAGGAAGCAAGGAAGCAAGGAAGCAAGGAAGCAAGGAAGCACGGAAGCAAGGAAGCAAGGAAGCAAGGAAGCAAGCAAGCAAGCAAGCAAGCAAGCAAGCAAGCAAGCAAGCAAGGAAGGAAGCAAGGAAGCAAGGATGCAAGGATGCAAGGGTTCAAGGAAGCAAGGAAGCAAGGAAGCAAGGAAGCAAGCAAGCAAGCAAGCAAGCAAGCAAGCAAGCAAGCAAGCAAGGAAGGAAGGAAGGAAGGAAGGAAGCAAGCAAGCAAGCAAGCACGCAAACAAGCGAGCAAGCAACCAGAAAGGAATCAAGCCAAAAGTATGCTTGCACACACGCAAGAAAGCAATCAAGCCAGCGAGCGAGCGAGCCAGCCAGCCTGCACATGCATGCAAGCACACGCACACAGGCGGGCAGGCGGGCGGGCAGGCAGGCAAGCAAGCAGCCAGGCAAGCAAACAGGCAAGGGAAGCAAGTAAGCAAGGAGGCATGCCTGCACATCCACGCGAGCAGAGCGAGCGAGCCGGCCAGCAAGCACGCATGCACGCAAGCCCGCAACCGGGCGGGCGGGCAGGCAGGCGGTCAGGCAGCCAGGCATGCAAGCAAGGAGGCAAGGAAGCAATGGAGCGAGCAAGCGAGTGCCACACTAAACAAGCCCCAATCCCCTTATGCTGGTCATAAGCCGACATCAACCTTACCTCAACTAACCAGAAACCACCCCTAAGCCCTGTACGAAGCCTGAAACAGACCTAAATCAAATCTAAACCAACCGTAAACCTTTCCTAAAGCGAACATAGGGGCCCGGATTCTACACAATGATATTGTATGTATATATATATATATACATGCATTGCTGCATTACCCTTTGCGATCGTGAACAAAAAGTCCCCTCGCCTTTAATCTGGCTCTCTGTGGTGGGCCTGGCTTTGGCGGGCCCTTGACTGAGGTGTTCTAGCAATGGGTTTCCTGTTTGCACCCATTGAACAGAGGACTCAGGGAGGACCAATTTCCCAATTTCAGGAAGGACGCCCCGCACTTCTCGTAACCTTTTGCTTCCTTGGTGCTTGGGAGTGTCGCAAAAGAGGACACCACCTCCAAAGGCGGGTTTTTCACGCGACACCAAAAGGAAGCCGAACTGCCGCTTCAATGTCTCATACTGTTTGGGGACGCACATGCACGGTGTCTTTAGGTGAAGGACTCCACCTTCCTGGAGAGCTGTGGGGTGGCGGCCGGGGGGCTTAGCCCCAGCCCCTTTGTGGGCTCGCTCGGATATCCGGCCTGCCAGGCCCACACTCGCTGGGTTGCCTCCTCCGCATGTATCTTCTTTCTCAACCACCCGTAGATGCACATATCCACATGTATCGATATGTTAGTTTGCTTGCTTGCTTGCTTGCTTGCTTGCTTGCTTGCTTGCTTGCTTGCTTGCTTGCTTGCTTGCTTGCTTGCTTGCTTGCTTGCTTGCTTGCTTGCTTGCTTGCTTGCTTGCCTGCTTGCTTGTTTGCTTGTCTTGTTTGTGTTTGCTTGCTTGCTTTTTTGCTTGCTTGCTTTTTTGCTTGCTTGCTTTTTTGCTTGCTTGCTTGTTTGCTTGTTGCTTGTTTGTGTTTGCTTGTTTTGTCTTTTTGCTTGCTTGCTTGTTTTGCGTTTCTTTGTGTTGCATTGCTTTCCTTTGTTGTTTTTTGGCATGTTGTGTTTTGCAATGTTTTGTTTTCTGTTTTTCTTGTTTTTTGTTTGCCGGTTTGCCTGTTTGCCTGTTTGCCTGTTTGCCTGTTTACCTGTTTGCTTGCTTGCTTGCTTGCTTGCTTGCTTGCTTGCTTGCTTGCTTGCTTGCTTGCTTGCTTGCTTGCTTGCTTGCTTGCTTGCTTGTTTGCGTGTTTGCTTGCTTGCTTGTTTGTATTTGCTTGTTTTGTCTTTTTGCTTGCTTGCTTGTTTTGCGTTTCTTTGTTTTGCATTGTTTTCCTTTGTTGTGTTTTGGCATGTTGTGTTTTGCATTGTTTTGTTTTCTGATTTTCTTGTTTGCCTGTTTGCCTGTTTGCCTGTTTGCCTGTTTACCTGTTTACCTGTTTGCCTGTTTGCTTGTTTGCTTGCTTGCTTGCTTGCTTGCTTGCTTGCTTGCTTGCTTTCTTGCTTGCGTGTTTGTTTGTTTCTTTGCTTGCTTGATTGTTTGCTTGCTTGTTTGCCTGCTAGTTTGCTTCTTTTTGTTTGTATGTTTGTGTGTTTGTGTGCTAGTTAGTTATCTAGCTAGCTAGTCAGTCAGTTGGGCAGGCAGTCAGAAGTAAGTGAGTGAGAGTTTTGTTTGTTTGTTTGCCTGCTGCCTGCTTGCTTTTGTTTGCTTGGTTGTTTGTTTGTTTACTTGTTTGTTGGTTTTTGGCGCGTCGTTGCGGCGAAACAAGTGGTGCCGCGTGCTTCGGCGATGTGCTGTCTGAGGACTTGATCACCACCTGCTTCGGTGGCAGGACGTTCGGAGCCTTCGGTGTTTTCGTATTGTCGCGGGCCGGCACGAGGTCTGGTCGCGTGATGCTTCCTGGCGCCTAGGATGTGAGGCAAGTTTGGAAACCCACAGCATCAAGTTCTTTCCCAGGGTCTTCAATGGCCAGGACTTCCTGAAACCGTGAAACATGAGTTGACAACGCAGCCGAAAATGGTACAAGTCAAAGAATGTGACTGAAGGACGTTTTGCTTCCTTTGGCAAGCCAGAAGTGTTACTTTACCTAAAGGCACAAATCTATTGTGTTGATCTCCGCAAACTTCGGGATTCCTATTTTGAGTTTCGGAGTGTATTTTTGTAGTTTTTCAGATTCACCCAGGCGAATGCCGGGGTTCCATGGCGCCTGAAACTGGCAAGGGCTGTGTATGGGCAAACAAAGTGGCACTTCTGGAAACATTTTAAGGATGGTCCAACATAGAGGGCTTCCAGCGGTTCGACCGGATTTGTTACAACCCCAAGTCTGCAACAGTTTGTTTGCTGTGAACGATGCCTGGTTGCATTTGCGAGGCAGCCTGACTCTGCGTCCCTTAAATGATCATCAGACCGATTTTCCCCAGTTTAGAGCCGTTGCTTGTGAGGTGTCCCGAATCATTTGTGTAAGGGCCGCCGGCTGTGCCATGGTCCGAAGTCGTGTTTGCTTGGGGCCACTGGAGATGGTCGTTGAACGGACTCCTATTGTAGCGCCACATGACCGACCCAACTTTTTGCGGCTTGGAACCGATCCAGCTCTTGGCTACAAGCCCCACATCCCCGCAGCTCCGCTGGTGTTGCGGGAAGACAACAAAAGACCTCGGCCGAGTCGAGGGCTGCCGCCAATGCAATGCGGCCATGGGTCAACAGCCAAATCGTACGTCGTACCCCCAGTGAACCTCCCAACCCAACCACTAAAATCCCGAGGGACATGGGTGAATTCACCTACCCATGGGGAATCCCCAAACGGTTTTGACCCACAAAACGGTTTTGACCCCCCACCCCCACCCCCAGCGGGACGCGCCGCGCGCCGCGCGCAGGAACCGGAAGTGCGCGGAGGCCTTCGTGAAGGCCAAGGGCGCCAAGAGCCGGGCGCGCCCAGAGCTCCGGCGGCGGGGGGGGGGGGCGGGGTTCGAGTGAGGGCCAGGTGGCTTCCAATGGGAGGGGTTTGGGAGGCGGAGAGATTCAGTGGTCAACCATCTTCATGGGCATGTGCGGCTGAGGGTTTGGTGTTGCACCAACTCGTGTAGCGAAAAGTTCCGCATGGGGCGATTTGGTCTATGTCTTGATCTTAGGCAACAAACAGTCCTTTGGTTGGTGTAGAAGTCCATCTTATGAGCATCCGACTTTTTTTTCGCCACATTGGGAAGTGATCAAAAAGCCACCCCTGTGCCCTTTTTGGATGGTTGCTGGAAAGCAAACCAAAAGGAGACCGCCCCAGGACGAGAAAAGACTCTCACAACATGCCCAAAGAAGCAGGAAGTGTCGAAAGCCACTCCCCGGCTTGCGGAGCTTGCGCTTCCGCATGAGGCTGGGCTCAGATCGAGAAGGAGCTGCTGGGCGGCCAGAAGCTGCAGGGCACCCTCACGGCCCTGGAGCGAGTCTGCCGTTCGCTCGCTGCGCTTTGTTGCATGGGAAAAAGGGCCCGCAAAAAGATTCGTTCTGGTCCCCAAGCCGTGGGGAAAGTTTGTTCTTTTTTTTGGATTCTTTGAGAGTTTCACTTGAAGGGAGGGGGCCAGTTCGCAGAGAGCACCCTGAAGCTGTTCTCAACCCACCCCGAGGTAGCCGTATAACTGTCAACTGAAGCATCCCGACACCCACCCAGAATCAGTTGAAAGGAGAGCGAGTTCATTCCCCTCTTAAGTGTGATGGCCTCGGTGCGCTGTGTAGGCAACGGAGATGGCAAGCCATGCTTGCTCACAAACACAGGACGATGAAAGGCACTATTGGACGACGACCAATTGGTCGCCGGTCTTTGTTCCTTATGCAAACGACTTGTTTTTTTTACGACTCATTGACTTCAAACAAGTCATTGTGGCAACAATAACAAGCACACCGCTTTTCTTGCTGTTTCGGTTTGCATCCTGCAGGAGATCTGGCCGGTGATGCAGAAGCACAACCTGTGCGAGAAGCTGCCGCTGCTGACCACCGTTTACCAGCTCCTTGTCCAGGGGCTTTCTGTTTCAATCTAGTAAAGAATCACTTCTGACCTGGGAGCCTTCCCATGTAAACGAACAGCCCTTCCCGTTTCCCAGACGTTTACCTTTGCGGCTCCAAAAGGGAACCTGCACACAACTAAGCCTGTGGAGGGTCGGTCCCTGGGTTTGGACGCGTGCCCCAAATGGCCCTAAATTCAGGTAGCATGAATAGGTCAAATATTTTCCGGCCGTTTTGGGCCACCATCTTCTCGACTGAGAGGCCATGCAAGATGGCTCCAAAAGCATGTGGCGACGACTGAATATCAGCTAGATAAGTAAGTCCCTGGGGTTTTGGCTTGTAGGTAATCTTCCAAGATGCATGCCTCGCCATTTCTCGCCCGCTGGCAAGTTGGCAAGTGGTACGCAGGACATGCTCCGCCCAGACGCATTCTTAGATTCGCGAGGTGGGAGGTGGGAGGAGCCTGAGAGGCAAGTCCACGTCAGTTCGCAGACTCCTTAAGCACCCCCCCAGTTCACATCCCCAAACTCTTGAGTTCTTGAGACCGCCCGAATAAAGGGCCCATTGCCGCAGGAACAACACTGAAAGGATCTTAGGCAGGAGAAATCCCTCAATGGATGTTTCCTGAAATAGAGAACGCCTTCTTGTTGGACGAAGGGGACAAAGGCAACCTCACCACAAACAGGATTGCTAGGGCTTCAGCCACGAGGGATTTTCAGACAAGGCCGGAGAAGGGTGATATTCCACGCGTTCTAGCTACTTAACTCACCTAGCGATGGACACTGCCCGGGCGTCACTTGGTGTCTGTTGGGCACGGGTCTTGGAAGGATCCGGATCCTCTTGACTTCTGCTCCCCAGCCCAGGCGAAAAATTTGGGATGTCTGCTCACCGGATGAGTTCTGCTCGCCTTCAGGGGCTCCCTTTTGACCCTCGTTTCGTGCCCATCTCACCCAGCCATCGGCTGACCGTCGTCAGCCAGCCGTCAGAAGAGGCTGTGCGTCTCCGCGAGCTGAGGATCGCCTTCGAGGACCGCGCGCCCTGGAGCATCGTGAAGCTGCCCTCTGGCATGCCCAGCTCGGCCTTCCACAAGGAGCCAAAGGGCTCCACGGGAATCTCATTTTTCTTTGGACGAGAGCCCAAGGGGTGAAAGGAATGGGAGGCTTGAAGCTGGTTGGTATTCCCTTGTCGGTTTCCCTTCAACTAAGTTAAGGATGCATCAAAAAGATTGATTGGGGGAGGAGGGGTGTCAAGGTCAAGTTTCTTTCCTGTGTTTGTGGCTGACGAAGGAAATGGAAGTATAATTTTCATTTGCGCAACTAAGAAGCCAACAAGTGAGGTGTCAACGACGGGAATCGACCCCTCTAGATGGTTGGTAGCTCGTATTCACAAAAGCATCGCAGAGGGTTCTTCCGTGCGGAGCCCTTGGATCAACTTGCGCAGAGCAACTTGCACGGAGCCACTTGCACAGAGCCACCTGCGCTGAGCTACTTTCGCAAGGCAACTTGCACAGAGCCACCTGCGCTGAGGCGAGTAGTTTAGGAATAGTCTGGGCACGATGAGTAGTGTGGGTATAGTCTGTGTGTGAATAGTCTACGCAAAGAGTCTAGGTAAAGAGCTTGGGTGTGAAAGGTTGGGCGCCTTAGGTCCAGCCAGGTCTTGGGTCGAGAGATGGCGTAGAGGCTTGGCGTCAGCAGCTTTGTGGATTAGTTGTTGAGTTTCTACAGGGAATATTCCATCCGAGCGCGATCCTCTGCGGGGATGGGTGTGGTCGATGTCAAAAATCTAAGGACTTTTACGATTTTGCAATCCTCGGTCCAACCCTCTGCGGAGATCGGCGTGGTCGATGTCAAGCAATTGAGGGCTTTGTGCGATTTCGCGATCTCGCGTGACTTCTGTGCGGGGATCGGTGTGGTCGATGTGCAAAACTTGAGGACTTTTTGCACGCCTGCTCGCAGAAGGTTGCAATGCCTGCGATGACCCGCCAAAATAGAAGAATCTTATCACCAAGCTCTCTCGCGCTGGAGCAGAAGTCGCAAACATTGCCCCGAAAGCATGACACTCCCAACGCGATGATAGCAACCCCCCCAAAAAGATTAGAGTGTTCCACATAGTCGCGGTTTTCCGCAGATCTAAAGCGACCGCGCGATTACAAGAGCAGTCGCGCGAGCCACGAGACAACTTCCAAGGACCAGCTGGCAAGCAGACAAAGTACCAAGCACTCGCACAGGACCTTTGATGAGTTAGCCATACCCAGGTCAACCCTCTGCAGGGACGAAACTTTTGTGGTTGGAAGACTAGGAAAAACGAACCGGGGCCTGAGCTCGCTCGCCTCCGCATGGCTCTCGCTCGGCTCCTTGTGGGTTGTTTTCAAATCTCATTTTCGGGAAACTGGCCAGCTTGGGGTTGGGGGCAAACGTAACTTTTTTACCCGGAACTGGCAGATTTCCCATCGTGGAGCCCTAAATTGGTTCTCAAGCAAGCCGGTGGTTCAGGCACGGGTTCATAGTATTGGTCCATTAATGCATTCAGCCGGTGACAACTTGCAAGGACGACGGATTCTTTGAGGAGAAGTAAATGGCGGCTTGGCGGTGGATTCAGGCAGCTCACGGAAGCTAGGTGGTTGTCAGGGGTTCAAGGGTTGCTTGGTGTTGGTCATTGAATGCCTTTTGAAAACTATAGGGGTTCTAACGTCCGATAAGGAGGGGAACATGATTGCTAGCGGGCATGTTTTTTTTTGTGGTGCTGGTGCAGGTGCTGTTTTGGGTGCCGGTCGCTAAGGGGCATGCAGTTTGGCAGGTGCTGTTTGGGATGCTGTTGGTGATGCTTCGGGCGCATTGTTGCAGGATGGGCGGCCGGGGTGTTGATGGCACAGCCGCGTTTTGTGCGAGATTGACGGACGGAAGGGCTGGGGGCACGTAGTGTGGGATGCAAGTGTAGTTTTTCGCTATCTGGGGTCTATGCTGGGGTAATTGGGGGTTGCTGTTTTGATAGGGCTTTTGTTTGTGTTTCTTTTTCGTACTAGCCAACAACACACCGCTACAAAGACTCTGTCACGACAGAAGCAAACGACAGATGATTTCTTCGTTCACTGGGGGCAAGCTCTACCGTAAAAACACCCAGATGTCCTGCAACCCAAATTGCGGTGGACGGACCGGTGTCTTAGATCCTGGCCAGTCTTCCGCAAATCAAACTCAGTTTCCCATAGATGTTTGTTTTTATGTCCAGCACCCCTGATGCCCCGCGCACGTGCTTGACGGTTTTTTCCCCACTTGTTCGGAGTTAAACGCCCTCCCGCGCACGCCCAGGATATCTCTAGAGCCTCACCTCTCTGCGCCCGGGGATCCGTGCGAGTGGGGGCGTGAGTGAGCTTATGCACCGCTCCGCAATTGCTGGGCAAAGTGTCGGGCAAAGGTGAGCAGATCGTTGCTCAATTTTCGTGTGTGAAGAAAGCAATGCAAGAGATGCTGCAGCTCAGCTGGCTGATGCGTACCCTCAGCGATGGGCAAGGTTAGCTTCAGCAACTGGATTGAACACACAACGTTACTTGCATTTTTCTGCGAGTCGGGCAAGTCGAGCTCCACCATCTTTCTCAGTTAGCGACATATGGTATTCTTGCGCTGATGGACGACTACTTGAAATTGCCATTCCTTGAGAGTCTGACAAGTCCTGGCGAGTCCGCTAGGTCGGGTTGCAGGAGGGATTTAGGTGATTTGGGGTGAAGCTACACAGGGGGTCAAACGTAGGGTTTGCCTTTGGACAAAATGTTTAGCATAAGTTGATATGTAATAGTGTGACGCTTTGCAGCGTCAATCTTATGCCACTTTGCAGGATTTATTCGTGTATCCCTTTGCCTTAAGGGAACCATCGCCCAACAAGACGCAAGAGAGTCTCCAGGAATGCCCAAACTCTCTTTCTTGGACACTTGGCCTTGGCCAGTTTGAGCAGACTGACCCGCTCGTTGAGACTTGGCTCGTTGCTTTCTGGGGGACAGCGGGAAGAGCTTAGAGAATCCTTGGGGACCATGGCAGCCAGGAGTTCCCGCATTGATCTTCCTGAGCAGCACGAAGCTCTAGCTCTTGAAAGCTCTTACAAGAGACCCCCAAGAAACATGCCCATTTGTCTACATTCTATACATATATATGGATCACCTTTTGGGATTTCACGCTTTTCTTGAGATTCCTTCTAGTAGCAGATGGTTCCGGAATCTGTCCAGCTTTCCCGATGCGCTTTTGTCATTCCAGAAGGTGACTCCCAGGTGCGGACATGCGAGTAGCCAACCTCAACCTGACCCATGGGCATCTCTCGACTTTTTGGCATTGTGGCCGTCAATCAGTGAAGCGGAGAATGACATTGGGAACACTTACCACTGATAAATGGGGGGCAGAGTAAACATAGAACGTTGCTTGTGAGAGACTCAAAATATCTAGCAAACACGATTTTTCGAGGAGTCCCTGGAGTGCCGTTTGTCTTGGTTGGTTTGACATTTGGTGACTCCGCCCAAAGGCCCGCTCGTCACCGATCTAGACCCAACTGTAGGCACAACCTGGAAAGCATAAGCTCTTCTCACAGCTTCAAGCACGACGTGTTATGCTTACATTTTGTCTAAATGACGATCACACGCCGAGTTCAGCTGTCTTTAGGAAAGCCGATGAACATTAACCGCAGCTCACAAAGTCAAACCGAAGGACGCTGTTGGAAGGAAGGCTTTTGCCCGAAATTTCCCGAAGCCCGCATGAGTCACCAGCCATTCGTTTTGAGCTCTTGATCGCGCCTTTGCTTTCCGCCTGGGTCACCGTGTTCGACCGGAAGCGGTCTTCTGCGCCTGGCGAAGTTCCGGCCCGCTCAAGCGGGCTGCGGGCGATCCCAGCAGAGGACCCGAATCTCGAAGTCTCGGGCTGTGCAGCCCCGTTTCCGATGGTTTTCCCGCGGGCGAAACAAAAAGAGATGGGCCACGAGGAGCTTCCGGGTTGACCGAGCCAGGGTCCTTTTGCCGCCTGTTGGGAGAAGTGGATAAGCTGCTGAGTGATTAGTCTCCAATATTTGTGCGGAACTCCACTGTTTTCCAAGTAAGACCTGAGAGGCGAGGATCCCATGTCTACTTGCTGCTGCCAAGTTGCACTTGGAAAGAGCCACCCAGCGTCGGGTTTGCAAGACACTTACCCAGTGCCTTGTCATTGTTCAATTGACCATTTCTTTTTGGTTGCATTTGGACGCAGCTGAAGGACAGAGTGTCGCCTCAAGTCTTGTTCAAAGTGAACTTCCGAGGGGTTCCACGCGCGTGCGCGGGCCTTGGCTTTACCAGCCGTAGGTCAGGTGAGCCCCGCGGCTTGCCGTGGCAGAATGATGAAGGGCTCACACATGGGTTAGAGTCTCTGACATCGACAGGACGCTCACAAAATGGGAAAGAAAACAGCAAGCAACCATGGGAGCGTCCCGGATTTGAGCACCCATACTGCATTTGATCAAGCAAGGGCCTGAGCCAAATTTCGGTATCCGGACTTGAACAAGCAGCATGGCGTTAAATCTTTGAAGGCGAGCGATGCGAACCTCCGTGTCGCGAATCGCTGGGTGAATAAAGCCCAGTTGCCCAAATCCTGGAAGAGAAAGCCATGAACCTAGATGCAATTGTCCCACACTTTTGTAGATGACAGGCACCCGAAGAGAAGATTTCTGAGAATTTCACACGAGGTTGGGTCCCTGAGTGCCAGCTTTTCCGTTGCCCGGAAAGTACAAGAAGAGAGATCATCACACGTTCTCAGAGTGGATCAACATATCGATGACGCAAGCATGGACCAGTGCAAGAAAAGCGAATCTCTGAGCAGCTTTTGAAGCCAGACAGGGACTTACGGGTTGAGAGCATCTTCCACTGGAGCCCATGCTTTTGCTTCATGTTCTCCAGCCCGGAACTCGAGGACTGGCAGACTGGGCTGCAGAGATGTTGAGCATTGGGTATTGTGAAACATAGGGGACTCCCAAATGGTTGACTCGCTTTGACAAGGGTCGACAAGGAAAAGCAACACGTGCTGGCGTGGGGGAATTTGTAGATTTCGCGGTTATCCTCCAGTTGAGGAAAAACAGCTCCGATGTTCGCTGACCTTTTTCAGCTTCGGGCGACTTCATGAAACAGGCTGGACATGCATCCCCGACTTCTTGGAGGCTTCAACTGGGGTCACGATCAGGCCTCTCACTCAAGCAGGAAAATGGCCCAACATGGAATGAATGGCGACCAAAGCCCCAGGGCAGACACATGGTTAGGGTAGACTTCTACTTCATTTCAGGGGCTAAACTTCTACTGTGCAAGGGTCCAGGAGCATCCTGTGAAGGGTTTTTGTTTCCGAGAGTCTTCCCCGCCCGACGGCTTGGCCTGCACAGGGGTTCGATAGCAACCCAAGTCCAGAACTGGTGCATAGGCAGGTAGGCCATTGAAATCCATGCACTTTGTCAAGATGCAGGGAGCCTTTTCGGACCCCGTTTTCAACATCCGAGCAGCGTGCTACACCCATGGTTTGCTTTTGGACTCTTTGGAGCGAAGATCTGCTATGTGCATCTCGCATTTCACGGGTCCAACGTCTTGCTCACCTTGAACCTTTGTTTTTTCAGGAAGTGTGTATTTTCCCGCCTAGGCTGCGGGGGTTTATTGCCAGGTTCGTTCCCAGTTCAGTTGGTCAGTGGCAGCCCTTTCTGCCCTTATTCCGGGCTGGGGGTTGGGTTCCACAAAAATCTAGCCGAGAAAACGGCACCCTTTGTTCTCCATCGGGCAAGCAAGAAGCTTTCGGACACGCACCGGAAATCTGTCCTACTGCACGCAGTGGAGGAGAGCCAGAGGCGGAGACTGATTCGCCCAGGCCGGAGCGGGCAGTGATTTGCAGGGCCGATTTGGTCGCAAGTCCAGCATGGTTCATGGGAACCCTGAATTCATGAGCCCGTCGGTGAGTATGGGGATGTCCCATGGGGATTCTTCACCCGTCTCGCCGTGGGCTCGTGCCGGCCGTGGCAACTGCCTGGGCTCGATCGCCAGGACTCCTCGAGATGGCCGCTCAGCTGGTGGCGAGCAAGGGGATGTCTGGGGTTGGTGACGTTTGGATGTCTAGCGTTGAAGTGGTGGTGCTTGTTATGATTTCACAATTCAGTCGTAGGCTGGTAATAAGTCGAAGCTGGTGTCAGCACCATGTATGGTTCTGTATATCAAAATGAAATTGCCACCTGCAGGTGGCTGGCTAATGCGAAGGGGTCAGCTCATTTTTACACGCACCCTTGTCATACCTCGCAGCAGGGGAACGGCCAAGTCCGGATTGCTTTACTCGTGGCATGCCTTTTTACGTCTACTTCCCTCTGTCAGCTGGAGAGTTCTTAGAGCAGAGCGGTTGGCACGGAGCTCATGCTCCGTGTCTCTTTGCTAGGCATTTGACGAAATGAGCAGCTCACATGATTCGTGGCTTGTATCAGTTTGGGGAACAACTACATCTCCCATGAAAGGCTACGGGGCCCACCCAACCTTCGACATATAGCTCTTGGGGAAGACATAGAACGTGTTTCTTTGGGCTAGAGCCGACTCCTAGCCATACATGTCTTGGGCAACGGCTCCCACTTATTGGCACCTTTGTGCAGAAGATGGCAATTTGTAGTTATGCAGAAGAAGCAACCCGCTCCGACTTGGCTGGGTGTCAACTTTTGGTCACTCTTCTAAACGATTGGTTTCCGGGTGCGTAGCTTTGGCTCATACGCGCTGCAATGCTTTTGCGTGGCAGCCTCCAGGGAACAGGAATTGACCCACGTGTGCTTGGGGGCCCTCTGAAATGGCTCAGTCCACTAGTCGATGGTGAACATTGGCGATTGCCAAAATTATGGGGCCCATTACGGACCCCAACCTGGGAACCTGCTACGTCACACTGATACCCTGCACCCTGAGACTAGCAAGGATGCAAGGAGCGAATGTCATGTCAAACAATAGGAGCCTTTTTCGCTTGCGACCCCGGTGACATTGCCTGCTGCATTTCAAGGGGGCTTCCAAAACGAAGGAACCAGGCCGAAGGGGGAGCGCTCAGATGATACGCTCAGACGAAACATTTCAAGTAAACCAACTACTACAGCAAAACTTGGGGAAGGTTGAGTTCCCCACATGCATATTTCGGGCGTCAACAATAACTGCTGCAGCTTCACCCTAAACACTCCCCGTTTTGCGTTGGCTCGAGTCTGATTGAGCTAGACAGTCGTACAACCGCCCAGGGGGGTACCCTCTACCAGGACGACCCAAAGGCGTGCAGGGGGCCTGGAGCCGACAGAAAACCAACGCGGGTGCTGTATGTTTTCGCCTCCCAACGAAGACAAGGTGAGGCGTTTGATTGGTTGCCTTTCAAATTGAACGGTCGACGGTTCATGAAGTGACCAACGGCTGGTAGTTGTACCCCCACGCCTTCCGAGATTGTAAAGCAAAGGATCCAGGGAATTCTCAGGAAGAGACCTTTCAAACGCCTCCACGAACCTTGCCTTACTTCACCCAGGAAGCTGGGCGGCCGGCAAGCAGAGTCGTGGCACCTGCCTTCTGAAGACCACTAAAACAACAGATCCAAGCAGATTGAACACGGCTCAAGAGGGTCTGAGGGTCGGGTTTGAGGGTCTGAGGGCTTGAGGGTCTGAGGGCTTGTTCAACACGGCTCAAGCTGTTTCCTTTGTTCCTTAAAACCGCTGGCAGTCTCCAAGAGATACTGGACTGGCCCAGTGGTTGCGGCCGGCTTCGTCACATCCTTTGTCGACTTGAAAGCGCATGCTTTCGCCCGTGAGAGGGAGGGGGAGGCTCGTGTTTTGATTATCCCAATGCTTACCGGAAAGCCATAAGCAATCAGCCGCAAGCCTGGGGTAAACGCCCAAGTTACAGCCATGTCACATCATGAGGCCGTGTCTCGATGTTCTCAAACAAAGTGATTGGAACGGGCTGCTTGGGGCTGGTTTGCAAGAGCCTGAAGCGGCACGGAGACCCATTTTCTGAGCCGTTGGGGGCGCTAGGACTGCATCATTTGCATCATCAGCGTTTTGTGCCCCAACTTTGCTCTAAAGCAAGCAAGTATGCTATATACCCCACCAACGGTAGCAATAAGGCAGTAACTGGGTAACCAATAATTTTGTAACTCCAGGATTCACTTCCAATCCTTCATTTGATTGCGCTTTGATTCGGCTATGCAGAATCATCATTGCACCGTCAGGCCGATGATGCGAGGCGTGTGGGGCAGGCAGGGATGGGAGAGGAGGGTCGTGAAGTCTCGCGCAGCTGGTTTGAGAAAAGTGGGGGTTGGTCACTTTGGAAAAGTGTCGCTTTGATGCAGGAGCGTTTGGGAAGGAATGTTGGTTCATGGAACCCGCATCCCAGTTATTAAAATAGTGTGTTTGATATAGTTGCCTTTTGGGATATGACCCCGCTCCTTCGTTTGCAGCCAGCTTCTTTAGGGTATTGTGGTTTTTAAGGGGCTCCTCTCCAACATCCCACCAAAAGTGCCTGAGGCATGGTAGATAGGATAATGTTTGGTGGTGCAGGGATTCCGCGCATCTTGAACAGAATGCTGTCCTGCAAAGATTTTGCTTGTCTCCAAATAGTGAACACCCCCCAAGGGTCCTTCAGCTCAACCCCTTGAAAGGGTATCCCCAAATAAGTCGCATCCTTGTTGCAGGCACTAAAGAAAGTGGTAACAGATCCTGCTTGACGGAAGAAAGCCATTCCATCAGATCATGTCGTGCTATTCACCTTGCAATCCCCAGAGATCATGTTGTTTGATTGTTTCGTTGTTTTGGGCTCGGGTCAAACGGTAGTGGCTCGCTTGAACGCCTGGTGATGTTGCCCTGCTTGGCTGCGTAACGAAACTTGGTACAAGTTTGCAATGCCCGGTGGCTTTTGATTTCTAGGAAATAGAGGATCGCATGATTGTTTCGACTATTTGAAGTATGGTTTCTATTGCATACCCGCTTTCCATTGCTTACCCGCAGTGGTGGAAACTGAAGCCGAGCACAGGTGTCCTACTACCAGCCCAAGGCGTGCGGTTTCGCTTCTTGCCCTTGAAAGAAAGAAAGAGAAAGAGAGAGAGAGAGGAAGATAGAGAGAGTGAGAGAGAGAGGGAGACAGCAACAAGAGATTCCTCAAAACGAATCCAAATCACAGCCAGCACGACCAAGAATGAAGCTGGCCGGCATCTAGTGGGATACATTGAACTGGGGAATCCACGGGTGGCTTAGAGTCGCTTCGGGTTGCTGGGGTTGCTTTGGGTTGCCAGGGTTTCTCGGCATGTTCCAGGGAGGTCGAATTCCTTGGCGTTCCCTGGGGTACGGCGAGTAGAACGCCTCACGGCGCCTAGGAGGTCCCCTGGTGCCTCCCCTCGAGGATTCCATGAGGCAATCCACCGATTCATGAGGCAAGATATGCCCAACCGAATGAGGGGCCTTGAATCCCCGGGGTCATCAGTTTCTTCCCGGCCACACACATGGTTGATGCGGGGCGTCCTTGCAAAGAGGAAATCACGCATTGCGTGGGCCCATGGGCTGGTCGGCCCTTGCAGGCCAAGTCACACTATGTCACATTATTAGGAAAACATTGTGCTCCATCTCTAGATTCCACGCTCAAATGACCTTCCTTTGGGCGGGGCAATATATTTCAAGCATACATACATGCATATGTATGTGTATATACTTATATATATATACACATACGTACAGGTGTTTGTGTGTACTGTGTAGCCAGATGTGTATATGTGTATGCATATAGATCTGTCGATGTGCAAGTTCCTAAGGTGTAAATGTAGACACACATATGGGCATGTGCACAACGAGCGTATATATATATATATATACACATATATATATACAGATGTACACATATATATATATATATGTACCAGTCCCTGGGCCACGTACCCCCCCCCCCCCAATGGTATGGTCCCCCCATTCCCCCGCATCATCCGCATCTTGGGGATGATGCTGGCAATGCTGGGGATGCTGTCCAGTACCGTGCGAGCCCTGCAGCTTCGGTCCCAGACCCCCTTTCACCCCGTGAACCAACACCCCCGCACCTCTCGCAACATCCTACCCTAAACCAAACCACCCTGCAACCCCTCCTTAACCCCAACCCTAAGCCTAAATCAACCCAAACCCCAAACCCACCCGAAACCCACCGCAAACCAACCCTGAACCAACCCTGAACCAACCCTAAACCAACCCACCAAGCCTAAACCAACTCCGAACCACACCCCACCCCACCACCCAACCACCCCACCAACCACCCCACCAACCCCACCCCACCACCCCACCACCACCCCACCACCACCACCACCCCACCACACCACCCCCCACCCCCACAGGACAGGGGGGGCGGGGTGGTTGGCCCAACCACCCAACCACCCCACCACCCCACCACCCCGCCACCCCACCACCCCACCACCCACCCACCCCACCACCCCACCCACCCACCCCACCCCCACAGGGGAGGGGGGTTGGGGGGGGGAGGGGGGGGGTCCACGGCCTGGAACATATATATATATATATATATGTATATAAACACATATATCCTCCTGGATCCAGAAAGCTCCCTATGGAGGACTCGCCGGCTGCAGCGGGCGCGTTTGGGCCGCCACCGGGCGGGCCACCCCTACCCCGATTTATGTTTTCTGCGAGGGAACGCCAGGACCGGAGAGGTGGGGTGAAGGGGTGAGGGGGTTGAAAGGGAGGGGTGGACCGGGATTCGTAGTTTTCCATATGCAAGTTTGTGAAAATTGCTATTTCTCGGTTTCGACTCCCTTGCACAGCACGCCACAAAAAGGTCTCTAAAAGAGTGGATGGGGCAGAAGTTGCTTGGTATAGCAGACTCTTGGAGGGAGAACCAAACGGAGTACGGAAGATATTCGAAGTGGTTGGCCCCCTGCAAAAAAAACAGGCCTCCCAATTGGATCCTTGCAACGTCGATCGGCTTGAGATGCCTGTGGTGGCCCCAGTGGCAAGAAGCTTGTTGCGAAACCCGAGGGAATTCCGCCCATCGCCGAGGGTCCAACATTTCCCCGGAGGAACCCCGGTTTTTGTTAGGTTTCTCCGGTTCTTGTCAGGTTACTTGTCATGTTTCCTTAGCCCCTGGAATTGCGCGATGCCGCAAGTGATCCCGCAAAATGTGCGAGGTTGACCTGATTGCTCCGATTCCATGTGATTCTCCGCTGAAGTTTGCTTTTCCACGGCTAAATTTGTACAGCAGCCTCAACGGCCTGAACATACGCTTTGCTGAGTGTTGCAGGGATGGTAGCTGAGGGACCTCGGCAGGAACAGAAGGCGCAGATGACGGCACAGATGCGGCCGAGGCAGCAGCGGCACGTGGAACAGGAATCAGAGAAAGTGCCAATGCAGCACCAGCAAGAACAGCAAGAGCTGCAAGAGCTGCAAGAGCTGCAAGAGTTGCTGCAATTGCAACAGCAGCAGCTTCAGCAACAACAGCAGCTTCATCAACAACAAGAGCAGCAACAGCAGCTTCATCAGCAACAAGGGCAGCAACAGCAGCTGCAACGACAGCAGCAGCAGCAGCACCACGAACAGCAGGAGGAGCACTTGCGATTACAAGAATCGCAATTGCACCAGCAATACTATGGTCAGGAGCAGGAGCAAGCACACAAGTTGCGAGCACAGCTACAGCTCTGCCAGATGCAGCTTGCGTGTTTGCAGCTGCAAGTAATGCAGCTGGCATGTGAGAACTGCAGCCAAAGCGGGCAGCCCGGAATCCCAGCTAAGCTAGTAGTCAAGCGCATCCACTCACAGGTGCAGGACAACAATTAGTGACACATATACGCTTGGGAAGTGCACGAAGTCGTTTTTTAATGGGAAATGCACCGATTCACTTCACTCTTTCTCCAACAACTGTCTTGCAAGAGGACACGCCCTCCCTCGGTGGATTCAGTCAAGAACCCAGGCAGAAGCAGAGCTTCTACGAGGAACGGCGAGCCTTGGCCGCACAGAATCATCTCTGCTCCTACGGTGAACACTCAGAGACTGTTTGCTGCCGCAGCCGCCTCCTTTGCGCCTGCAAAATGATCCTGCTGCTTAGGCTAAAAGGAAGATTGTGGGGAAACCGCAGATGATCATTTGCACGAGCATGGTAAGAATTGCGATTTTGGTTGTCCATTTGATGCCACCCGCCACTAAATTTGGCTTTGAGAGGAACAGCTGTTGCTGCAATTGCTGCTCGTCCATGCAATGCCCTGAAACTCTGCTAGACTCAACCTCAGGTTTCTTTTCCTTTGCCTTTCTGGATTTCCAGTGTTGCTTGTTGCTGTTCCTTGCCCATGTCCAAAGATATTTCTTGTCGGAGCATTGTTGGGAGGTTGGAAACGAAGGGATGACCAGAGGCTTCATGCTTCTCCATCGAGATCCTATGACCAGTTTTCGAGAGGCTGCCGTTGCGGAAACTAACACTTGTTTTCAGGGTCCAGGCACAAGCTTTGGGATCTGATGGAAGCCCTGCCGGGCAAGGTTGTTGTGATAGTCTGTGGTTCATGTCGGGAGGACATGAGAGGACTACCCATTCGTGTTTTTGTCCTGCAAAGTGGGGGGACTACCCAACTCGACTGCAAGCAGCCCCTGGGATGAGGATATTGATTTGTCATGAGGATCCCTCTTTAAGGGAGTCAGTCCATCCCCTACCAAAGGAGTTTTGACTACGGCAGGTGTGCAATGATTTCTGCCCCGAACAAGCAGGCCGCACGGCCTTGCTCGATTTTCATTTTCCCTCCATGCCCTCTATTGATTCGTTGAGTTGGGGTCAGCTAGGGGCAACTTTGGGAGACAGGCAGAAGCATTTGCGTGTGGTGTGAGCGTAGACATGGGCCACTCATCTTCTGGATTTGTCAGTTGCGCATGTTGGAGCTCCGTTTGTCCATGATCAGACGATGTGCTTACTTGGGCTTGGTGCAGTTGGGTAGGGACGTTTGGGCAGCCATTATTAGGATTCCTATAGTGGAAACTATGATGGCCCACATGCTTGCAGCAAGGCGGCCGATGGCCAAAACCCAGCCAGTCTCTATTCACACCCCCCCCAACTGAGATCCTATTTTGCAGAACCAGCCTCAAGAACCCTCTATAGCCGCAGTAACCTAAAGAAGATGATACAGAAAACCAACAAGCAGCTAGCGCGCACCGCACCATCCAAGACGTCCATCGAAGCCAGTCTTTTCCTTCGGGGAAAACACACAAGACTCAGAGGCGACCATAAACAGCGAAAATATAATATACTCAAAAACCGGGTTCTGGCTTGCATCTGGCATGTGAGTGGCACCCTCGAACCCATGGCATCGATCCGCTTCGGTTCGTCCCTTTGACTCGAGGCCAGCGCAGCGAGCAGCTGGGATCGGAGCAGTTTCTTTGGGCTCGCTGGCGCTACAAATCGAAGGAACCACTTCAGACCGAGTGAAGGAGGCCTTATTAACAAAAAAACACGGGGATTGGGGGAACTTGAAGTTTTCAACAGTTGCTGGTTGACGTTGCTAGCAGCTTCCAACTTGCAGGCACGCATCCGGGCAGTTTGGTTGCTGGCCCACAAACAGCTTGAAACGCAGTGCCAAAACTCGCAAACCTTGTGCGCCTTTTGTTTTGTTGGATTTCATCAAATTCACATTGACCAGCAAATGGTCGACCCTCTGAAGGGCTTGGTTTCCACCGGCGTCGGCTGCGTTGGCAAGGTAGGCTGAGCATTCGGTACCAGCGCAGTTGATGCGGGCAGTGTTCAACTTTCACCATCAAGGAAACACGCGTAGACTCTCTTGACCACACCCATTGCAGCACAGCAAATTGCATGGATGAAGTTGACTCAGCCAATTGCAGCTAGCGCGCTCGCCCAGTTCCCATGTCAGTTGATATGGTGGAACTTTGACCGCTGTTCCCGAGGACATTATTGGCTTACATATCATTCGGCAGGTTTGGGCGAATTCTCCGTGCAAAGGCTCCGGCTTAGTCTTTTCTGTAGCAGATTCGTTTTTTCAACGCAGGGTTGCGGTAGGCTTTACACGCAGTCGCCACCTGTGGTGAGCTCACCGAAAGAGGGTAACCAGGCTATGATCCAAGGCTTCCGCAGGTCATCAAGTGGGACTTGGTATGGAGCTTACTGCTTGCAAAAGGAGCCTCCATAGCGGGCATACCCACATTGGCACGTGTATCGGTAGCTTCAGGTACCTCCCTTTGCGGAAAGTGCTGTTTATCTATCCCTTGACAGTACCTTGAGCAAATGAGAAGGGTACAACATATATATATATATATATACACATGTATGTATATATATATATATATATGTGACTATATGATGGATATTGGATGCTTCGCCAAAACATTGGGATGCACCTGGGAGGGGGAAGGCTTCCCGTGCTGAAGTTTACAGTCTTTGCCGGATGTGCCTGACTTGTTCGAACAAATAGATGAGCCTTCTTCTTTTTTGGTTGCAAAAACGGGGGGTCAAAGGCAGGCTTTAAGCGCGCACCTAGGCAGTTCTGGCAGAAGCTGCCCCGCTCTCTGGACCTCACGGCAGAGCAGCCCCTTGCATCGAATGGGTGGGATGTCCAGGGGTCCGGATGTGCCTCAGCTTTTCTTGGGCGCTTCCAGAAGAGTAGTTAACTCTTGGTTCCTTAACCATCCAAAAGGGATTGCTCGCTCCCAAAAGGGATTGCTCCCTCAAAAGGAGCATGCTTCCCTTCTTGCATGCTTGAAACAAACACAAGCTCCGGTTGATGCGGCAATTTTCGATGTAGCAGCATGCTGCGGGAGGAAGACCCTTTGCAAATGTCCGCACAGCTAAACTGTGAGTCCAAATTAGAGGATTTCTCGGGACGTCGGAAGGCTCTTGGAGTAGACGAGCCTTCCGGCAATTTTTGAACCGTACTTGTAGCACATATTTTGTTTCCTTTGTTAGTCTTGGGAGGACGCCTTGAAGGGACCACCACTGCGACTGTCCATTTGCAGGAATCATTGTGTTGCAGGTCCGCCTCCCCCCCCCCCACAGGCGAACTCATCAAACTTCCACTCGCCCTGGACACATAGCTCGTGACCCCCTATCCCCCCCCCCGCTTTTGAAGAACATAGATCAATTCCACGAATTATCTTGTGTTCTGGGCACTCTGCAGGAGTTTGTCATGACTCGTCATCTGCCCACCGGAGGTTTCTTCCCTTCACTTATCTTGAGACTCTGATCGTTCTCACTTTGAGATCTGACAGTGAAATCGGGGCGTCGCTTTGTCGATGCCAGCGGGCCGAGGATTGTGCCAACCATCAACCCCTGGACGCGGGATAAAGGTCGCCTCGTGCCCCGGAGTTGAGCCATAGCCGTATTTTTTGGGGCAGGGAGCGCAGCTTGCATCACTGAGCGCTCCAAGAGGACTGCTCCATTTGCTTAATAACATGTTTTTATTTTTATTTTTTCCCCCTTGTTGGTTTTAAAAGGAATTCATCACTACTGGACATATGTTTATTTTTTCCTGGGGCCTTAACCAAATGGAAGGACTGTAAGGACTGAACATAGGTCGACCCTGATGAACGACCCCTCCACAGTCGTCTATCGCGGATTGTGGTTGCCCTGGAAGAGAGGAACCCTGGCCAAATAGGCGCGGTGGACGAGGTTTGCCGAGGCTGCAGATTACTCCCCCTGCTCCAATTGCAAGGTGGCATAGCCAGGGTTTCATTGGTCAGCCACTTTCTCGGCTTGTACACCTATTCCATATATTTTACATGTTGCGCTGATGACAAAAACGGTGCAAGCACGCAAGTGGTTGACCATTCTTCACAAACATGCCAACCCCCAATGGGCAAGTTAACCAACCATGGTCCGCTTGCTCTCGTTCCTATTAAAAATGGGCTGGGTTGGAGCGTTTGCCGGTCACGGTCACGACAGAAGGCACGGCGGACAACGCGGCGTCTTTCGGTCCCAACTGGCTTTGGTTGTGCAGAATGGCACGGCCCAGGTCCATTTTGTTTGTGTGGGGGGAGGGAAGGTGGGGTGGGGGTCAACCCCCCTCACTGAATGTGCTGTAGTCTCAAACAAGCAGACAAGATTGTTGACAGGTAGAAACTGCATCTCCAAAGGAAACGGGTCACGTGGAGGCTCAATTGAGAATTGTTGTTGTTCTGCCAGATTGTCGATTTGGGATTTCAGACCCGATCTTTGGTCAATTGTTGTTTGATTTGTTCTTGCTTGCTTGCTTGCTTGCTTGCTTCCTTCCTTGCTTCCTTGCTTCCTTGCTTCCTTGCTTCATTGCTTCCTTGCTTCCTTGCTTCCTTGCTTCCTTGCTTCCTTGCTTCCTTGCTTCTGTGTTTCCTTGCTTCCTTGCTTCCTTGCTTCATTGCTTCCTTGCTTCCTTGCTTCCTT